AAAACTTTTTATTGATCCCACAGTGGGGAAATAACAGGTCTTTTCAGCTGTACTGGTATAACAAAGTGAACTGGCTGCTGTAAAAGATTATAGCTTGTTTGTCTTTGTGTCTATGGTGTATAATGATGTGATTGTGATGCTGTATTTCTGAGTGTTTTATGTGCTGCAGAACAGGAACCTGCTGTAAAACAGCAATTATGCTGAGTCAGGCTTGATTTTTAGTAATCTTTTCCTGTTAGATCAATAAATCAAATCAAATCAAATCAATTCTACGGTTTTATATGATTTCTTCTGATAAGAGGCTCAGCAGCCGTAGGGCACTGAAATATTACAAGACAAATACAAAAACTGGGTTCAAGAATGCTTTGAGCCAGAAGTTCAGACCCAACAACAGGTCAAAGTTAAGATCAGATTTATTTAGGAACAGATGACAGAGTGTGATCATCAGGTGGAGTAAAGGCAGGAGTTAGTGGAGCTTTGTCAGAATGTTTGATAGTTCTCATGTTGAGGAGGAGGAGGCAGAGGTTCAGGACAGGTAGGTCCAGGTGGAGGGAGAGAGGAGAGTCCAGAACAGGTGAGTACAGATGGTGATTTCTTTTGATGACGTTCTGATGATGAACATATTGAAAAACTTTACAAATGACTCTTTAACAAAGATGTGTTTTAAAAGCCAAAAATTCAGGTAAAACTAAATTTTTATATTTTATGATAACATAAAAGCTTGTGAGTTTTATATTTCACCTAAATAAACCAGACTCTGTGACAAAATCTTCAGCTGATGATCAGACTGCACTGGAGTGAGCAATTATGTTCATGTGTCCATCTAGTGGTGAAATACTGTCATTACATGATGAATGCAAAGAGACTGAATGCAGGTTCTTTGTCCCTCGAATGCAGAATGATTATTCATTCATTTATTCATTCATTTAAAAACAAAATTAAATCTATATACATTTTAAAAGTCATAAATAAAATGAAAGGAAGCAGAGAGAAGAAAAAAACCCTTTTCAAATCTGCCTCTTTTTTCCACAAAATTAAATTCAAATAATAATAACATACCAAAACAAAATCAAATCCTACAAGTAAGCTTTTCATCAATGATGATATCCAAAAACTTCACCTCACTCACTCTATAAATCTCAACACCATCAACTTTAAATGGAACCTCAATAGTTTTCTGTTAATATCGTGCAGTTTGTCTTATCCAAATTCAATGATAAATTATTCATTTGAGACCAGGTTCTAATTCTGTCTGTATCACCTCCAACATCTGTTCAATATTTTCACCAGAATAAAACAAGTGTTGTGTTATTGGAAAACAGAACACATTTAATCATTCACATATAAAATAAAATGTTTTGGTCCAAGCACAGAACCATGAGGAACTCCACAACTGATATTACATAATTCAGATCTTATATTATTTACTTGAACAAACTATTTCCTATTTTTCATATAACTAGACCCATAGTGCTAATCCTCTAATGTTTTTATTCA